TAGGAGTATTTTTGAACGAGTGAGGCCTTCTTAAATATGGGTAATATTTTGGGCTGTTCACACCGGTCCAGAGCGAACCGGAAGTCGAGTTTTAGATTTTCGTAAAATTCGCCAAAATAAAAAAGCGCTYGAAGTTTTAAACTGGATTTTTTAAAAGAGCTTACCAAAGGTTGTCTTCTGACAAAATATGAGAAATTTGAAAATTCCTTCGCTGTCCCGCCATTCTCGACCGTTACGGACAGCCACTCTTAAGAATGCATTCTAAGGGGGATATGAGAGATTTACTTGATGAAGTTTTGGGTCTTATTAAAACAATTTCTATTATTTGATTCTAGCAATGAGCTGTACTACCATATACTACATAACGAGCTAACGAGCCATTCAGTCATTCTGATCTACTCTTGTTTACAAGTAGGTAAGAATTTTGTCCTCCGTATTGGTCAGTAAAAAAAATCCATCGTTATCTTTCCAAAGGTCAATGGAAAACAGGACAAAAACCAAAAACCCCGCCATCTCAAAAGTCCTACAATCCCTTTCGGGAGGGTTTCGTTACAGTCAATTCCATTAAACTTTAGAAAAAAGGCGATGAATGACTCAGGTAAACAAAGTTTCTCACGTGATGTTTTGGCTATTCCCATGAAAACGCAGGGGCGGATTTCACATATATTTCCACTTAACTAACTGTTTGAACTCCTCCGGTTTTACTTTTTCCAATTTCAGTTTTCTCGCCGAATTATCTTGAATCGTAACTCCTAGTAAATCCTTTGTCTTTTTCCCTCGAAACGTGAAACCCCCTTTTTTTTATTCCTCTTATTTTTTTAAATTTTGTCTTCTATCTTAATCTTATATATTGTTAACTGAGTCGTTTCTCTTTGACTCTATTTCTTCCTTTTCCTTGTGTTTCCTTGTCCATTTTTCTCCTCATTCATCATGATTATTACAACCAGCGTTAATTTCTAACCGCAACATAATTTCCCCACGTGTACTTTATACACCTTCTTAATCATGCCTGTCGCTTAGCAACGACGAGTACATCGCTTTATAAATCTCCACCTTCAATTTTCACTCTTTGTTTGGCTCAAAAGCCAATATTTTGACAATGCTGTAATTATGTGTTGACATATTTTTGTAACCCTACAAAGATTCATGTCAGGTGTCATTTCGTAAAAGGCATAAGTTGAAAATTGACAAATTGACAAATTTACAGATGTTAGTATGTCTGAAGGTATACTGAGTGCAGCTATAGGTTTTTCACTGAGTTTCGAAAGGGTTTATTTTCAATCGCTGACAGATACAGACCAGCATAACACTAACCGCCCCCATTAAAGTATGGTATTTTCAAGAAAACTGGCTAAAATGATAATGACGATCACGTAATGGCAATGCATGTAGGTCTCATATGGCCGACTAACATGTCGATTCGTTAATTATTCAGTATCGTTGCTTTATCGAATCTTTTGAACTTCGCCATTCTGCGATGTTTCCGGACGAAAGCGGGCAAAATGCAGGTTACTTTTAATTCCGCCGGTTGATTTGTTACGCGAGGTGCAAGCCGTGGTTTCTCATTTGTTTTAAAGCAGGCTTTCTCCTATTTTTGAATCCGATAACCTCTTATGAAAAAGGTACATAACACGAATAGTAAAACAAAAAGGGTCGGTTCTTTTAATGTTTTCCAGAAAGGAAACTCTAAGGATTTTGGTTTAAAATCATTTCAGTTCCACAATGTTACAATTAGCTTAGACATTTCATTCCAAACTTAATTTTGATGTTATCTTTAATTATATCCGGAAAACTACGAAATGAGCAATTCGTTCTGTAAAAAAATGTTGCTAACTATTCGATGACAGAAAACAACAGCAAAGACTGATCATTTTTGAAGAAGAACGTTACTAAAAAAACTAAACGTTTTATAGAGAAAATTGCGAGTACCTTCATCTATTAAACCGTCCCTGGTTTCGTGCGACTTGTTATCTTTTTCCCGCCTTTAACGTCCCAGAAATCCACGGCCTCTTATTTATGTTTACTACTTCCGAGAATATTATACCCGATTGTATCACCAACCAAACGCAATTTGTACAAAAACCCAACAGGCGCAAGAATAATTTATGGCCTCTCACTAGAAGTTTGACAGCTTTTATGATGTTTCTCCTAGAATCCTCGTAATAATAGCGATATATGACGAGGTTGCCATCGAACAAAGGACTTTATATCAATCGAATTTGGTAATTCATTACGAAAAACTTTTAATAAATGTCTTGAATAATTGGCCATAAAATTTTCAGTTGTACTGAAACAACACTAAATATCTTTCCTTTACATTCATTTTTATTAAGCTCCGATCTAAATACTCGTCAATCTTCATTTCCGTAAACCTTTAATTATTGAAGAAATCTATCCAGGTGTAATGCTTTTTTTTTAACGACTTTGTTTACTAACAAGCAACTTTTTTGAAAATTAGGTCAGTTTTGTACGTTTTTGAGAGGGTGGCATTAGTGTTTCTGTGCTAAAAAAATGCAAATGTATTTTAAAGCGTTTGCTCGAATGTTTTTTGGATATTAATGAAATCTTAGTGGTAATTGAATTTCTCTGATCATAAAACACATGGATTTTGTTTTTAATTGTGTTTTGGTCATAAATACTCAGAGATTAAAAGAGCTGCCATTGTCCTGTCCGGCTTAGTGTACAATATAGACCGATATTGAATGGGCCAAAAATATCAATGCCAAATAAAACCTTTGTTTTTCATCAAGAACTAGTAGCTTAATTATATTGAATCTGGTACTTGCCTGTATGGGATTTGCTTTCCAAATCTAAAAGAACCAAAGACTGAGAAACGTGATTTGATTTCCAAACGATAATAATAAAATTTCAGGCTTCAAAAGCAAGTTCCGTTCAAACCATTGCTATTTGAGCAATGTCTTCCATCAAACTTAGCACAGATGTTTTGCTTTATTTTCGCTTTGTTTGTGATGCTCGTAGTTGTTTACCCAAATCTAGAAGTAATTTTAGTCGTAAAATAAATGCAAAGGTGTGAATTTCAAACAAGAAATATCACATATTCTTGTGTTTTCGAGATAAAATTTAATTGTTTTTGTTGCCATATAAGAGTTGTTTTTTTAAAAATTCCATCTACTTAACTTAATACTTTGGCCTGTAACTTCCTCCAGGCTTAAAAAAGGACTGTTTCATTCACGGATGCTTTGACCTGATTTGCTTCTGGTTTCATCTTTAAAYCATAAAGCGACAAAGAACTATAGCTTGAGCATTTGAATGTGTTTGTTTGCTTATGATCCTGGCATCTATTTTCTTAAATTAAAATCAGTTTTGCTAGACTTCTTACCTGTCTTGGTTTTTTTTCTCACGAGATCTCAATCTGATCTATTAAATTTTGTACGAAATGTTCAATAATACTTTCATATCCTACATAGAGAACTGAACATGACGCAAACATTAATATTTTTTGGAAAACAAAATGCAACAGAATTGGATTGAAAATGTCAAACAAAAGGCTTGTATAATTGCAAATTTCGCGACCAAAGATCAATAACACTATGTTCAGTGTGTTATGTGGGGGGCGTATGCAAACAACTAGTCAGCGGCAGTTAAGCTTTTAAAAACAAACAGGACTTGTAGACCTGTCTTTGTGCTCCTTAGTAGCCAACTAAATTACAAGCTTTGATGAATTTCTATTGATTCTGATATCGGTCCATGACGTTTTTGGGATTAAATGAGTTTTCCTGACATAAGCACCTAGTTCAAAGTGCCATGAATGTAAATGAAAGCAAATGTCAAGAAAAACAATAAACCCATCTGCCACGCAAAGCCACACCAACTATAATTACCACACTAAAATACTTTATCTCCTTAAAAACCTCGCTTCTTGTACATCCATTCTCTCCTTCTGGTGTTTTAACGTGTTTATTAATAAATAAGGTATGCAAAAACTAAAAAATTAGTTTCCGAGAATATTTTATTATTCACGTAAAAAGTCTTAATTTTGTCTTAGGATTGGTTATCGCCGCAGGGGGTCTGGACCGGACAAAGAGTCTAGACACCATTTAATGTCGGTTTTTAGGTCCAAGGTTGTCTTACTTGTTCTATCTATTCATTTCCAAGCGACGGTCGTTTTTTCTTTTCAACTTTTGAAAACAATGACGTTGTATTGAAATTGATCCTATTTCTGATTGGCTTAAAATTTTCTCCTAAAGTATAATAGTCAATTTTTTAGATTTTCATGAATAATCTGGAACGCCAACTCTAATGATATAAAAAGTAGGGTTCTTTTTTACATGGAGATTTTGAGTTGTTTATTTATTGTTGCTAACGAAAAAGAACCTTCATTAGGCGAATCTTGTGATCACTCGGTTTTTAGAGTGTGAAACGTACCGTGCTGACTAACAGCACGTAAACCGTACATGTCATAACAAATAAAATGGCTTCTTATTGATTTTGCGAGATTCTCCAATCACTCGTAGTTACGGCTACGGTAAGATACGGTACAGCTTACTCCCGTACCGTGCCGTGCCGTGACCTTGATGCTTTCTAGAATTTTAATTCGTTTTTTTTTCTCTCGCAATTTGATTGGTCTGGCAGTGTCGTGACCCTGGCGTGACTGTGTCCGTGCCGTGTTTATGACGTTTTCAGGACATTTGATATGTTGGGAAGTAAATTCTCAAGCAATGTGACTGGTCTGGCGTTTGACTTGCCGTGTCACGCCCGTGTCCGCGCCTTGAGTTTTTCATAGTCATACGAAAACTGCTCTACTGCCAAGAATTTGCTAGTCTCCCAAGCAGCCGTTTTTAGTCATCCTTAGAATTGCTGTATCATTTACGAAAACCTCCAGAATAGATCTCTTTCGAAGTAGCTAGCTTCGTAATTCTGAATGCATTTTCACCTTTCGTTCGGAGATCTTTTATGAACGCGACAAACAATTTTTTCTTCTTTTGTTCAAACAACAACATATAAGACTGACTATATTAATGGTTGACACCACTTTATAAAATTCGAAACTTAATTAAATTAACCACTTTTAGGGTGAAGAATCTAAAGGTTTTATTTACAACCCAACTTTCAAGGTCCTCTAGAGATCGAGTTGTAATTTACAAGTTGATTTTTACTTAAAACCATAGAACCTGGATAAAATCTTAGACGCACAGGACAGAACAACAAGCAACTCGTTACTTACCTCTAATGCCGGAATCGCTTTTCCGATTTTTCCATCCACAATTGGTCTAAATTTACATCGTTAAAATCAGGATGTTTACTAACAGGATTAGTATTCCCTGCATTCCCTGTCTAATACATTGTAATCCTGTTTTCGTAATTGTTCCAGTCACATCTCAGTGTCATCAGGGCAGTTTTTTTTCTCATGTCCATCCATTTACGGCGATCTATTATCGGGAAATCCTCTTTCCTATAGCCAGAGCTCCTAAAACGTATTTTGTCTTTTCTGATATTTAACACATTTAAAAGGAACAAATTCAAAAAACTGTGTGTCTAGAGGGAAGTCTTAAAGCTATTCTTAGGAGAATATAAAAAATTATCTAAAGCCATCCGCTATAGTGTAAATGAGATTTTTTGGAGTAAAAAACAGTCTGTGAATTTTTTTGCACAAATATTTTGAGAACCTATTCTTATCATGCGGACATGCAGTTGTAAGATTTTCTTGTTTATTCTATCTTTCTCTAAGCTATATGAATTGTTAAATAGCAAAGTCTGGAAGAGAGGCTGAGGCGATCCTAAGGAATATTAATCCAAAACAATTCCTATATTTTTAAGCGTATTTTTATCCAGTTTTTCGAATGCTTGATGCATATGTTTTGCATTCATTCATCGTAGTTCACTCCAGGCTAATAAGATTTGTAAAATAAAAATCTTTAAAAGCATCTTTTGGGACACCATTTACACACTTGTATGCTTTTGCAGTTTCTCAAGTGTGTAGTGCATGTATTATATTTTTATCGTGACTGAACAAGCTGCTATTAGAAGAATAGTTGAGAAATATTCACCAACACCACCTTATTTTCATTCACTCTTTCAAGTGTTTGCGACCCACTTTCATTCAGGAATTTCAGGAATTTTTCTGACTGACTGATTGAATCTGCACACATTTTCGCATTTTCCCCTTAAAAAGCATATATTTTACTTTATATGTGTTTATATGATCAGGAGTGAACAAGGAACCTTTTAAACACCTGAATTCGTCACCATCCTGTTATTCAGCGTCAAACATTTGACTTGTGAACTTGATTTAAAATTGGTTTGGTGGAATTGGTTAATTTAGTCACACTGTAATATTAAAAAGAACGGAGAGAAGAACATGATTTACAACCAATCATAGACTTTGCGTGTTTTGAGATTTAAGTGACTAATTTATTGCAGTACAGGAAGCATAAGAAATGGCTTTGAAACGTTCTCGACATTCGACAACGCCGTCTCGCGTTGTATCTGGTTATTAAACTATTGTCAATCAGATTCGTAAGTTTCGTGACCGCAATTTATTTGCACGTACGATAATGGCGACCCTCTTATTGATAATTCATCTTCTCTAAATTCAATATATGGGAATTAGGAAATATTTTGAACGTTGAGTTGTTGAATAAGAAGAAGGCGCAGTTACATCACTACCATGCAATATGGTGGAATGCATTCTTCCTCCCCTCCCCCCTCTTCCCCCTCCTCCTCCTCCTCCTCC